GTTACACCAAAAACCAAAATCGATTTTCTCGAAAACAGATTTTGCGTAAAAATTCACGTTTCTCCTTAATTTTTCTTTTGTTTTTCACGGCGCTTTTGAAAGCTACTGGGAAATTTTCACTTTGGACCCCCCAAAGTATAAGAAAATCCAAGCCCTTTTACTGTCCTAAAACCTGATGACAGACACAAAAAAAAATTAAAAATAAAAGAAAATTAAAAAAAAAACACACATCATGGTAAAATCAATACATTCATCGTTTCACTCAGAATCTGAAATGTTTAATTTAAAATAATCTATAATCTTAAAACAATTTCTCAAGGCTATAACTAACTCAAAAAAGTAAAAATTTTCCAAAATGTAATTAATTGAAAATATTAATATAAATATTTGGTGAAAACTTCAATGATGTACGGTTATAAGGTTTCGAGCTATACCAAAAAAATAAAATTTTTGGTTTTAGGTAAAAATGACAATTTTTTGTTTTATTGACGCTTTTTAATATCTAAAACTAAAAATTTCGGTTTCGATCTCCAAAAAGAACCAACTAGATTCACTTTTCTAACAGAAAAAATGCTGATCTCGAAATTCGGAATATTTTTACTACCTATTATTGATAACCGACAGAAATGAAAAAAATTATACACATCTTGTAAAATCAATACATTTGTTATTTTGTTCGTTCCTCTCAAAATCTAAAAACAGTGATCACGACTCCATGCTATATTAAAAATGAAATAACATTGGTTTCGTTTCCAAATCAATAATAAATGATTTATATATTTTAATAATTTTATATTAGTTTAATATTAGTCTTTAGATCTTTTGAGCCCCTTCGATATATTATGAGGCCCGAGGCCTGTGTGCGGTGCACACTTTGCACACCCGGTTTTTACGGCACTGAATATAGATTCTCTGAAGAAAATTTATCTATGGCTTGCTCCATTGATAACTTTATGAATATGAACTACGAAGGAAGCTTAGAATTCATAAATAACTATAAAGTAAAATTTATATAATATTAAATACAACTCAATATTCAATTCAATTTTTTTTTTTTTTAATAGTGCAGTTTAAGTATTACTATAACTTTAATATTTTTTTGATTTTACTGTTTAATTTTCAGAATGTGACAAACGTTTCAATCGATTTATTAAAAGCTGAAATAATAGTTTTCAAAAACTGTTTGCCACCAGATTTTAATTTTGATGACATTAAAGGAAAATTACATAAAGAAGCTTTTCCTAACTTGTATAAGCTACTTCAAATTGCAATTACAATCCCAGTAAGTTCTGCAAATTGTGAGCGTAGATTTTCTAGTATGAGACGTATAAAAAATTGGCTAAGAACAAGTATGTTCTTGTTCAGTGTTAGATAGATTTAACACAAAAACCAGGAAAATTGTTTTAAAATAATAGATTATAATATGTTATCTAAATAGTTGTTATTAGTTTTTAGTGATTGTTTATTAATATTGATCAATATGAAAATATCAAATGTGTCATCATATAAATTAATATATGAAATTGAGTTATAAAAGCATGTTGTGCTTTGAAATTGTGTGTTGGGAGGGGGTCAAATCCCCCCACGAGTTACCAAGGTATACTAAATTTTAGCACCCCTTAAATTACAGGTCTAGTTGCGCCTATGGATGTACATCGATGTAATCGCATATAATTCGCTTGTAATACGCGCATCTCACATATGTATATATTTAACGGGGCGTTTGAAAAACGTTTTCCGTTAATAATAAAATTATTAAATCATAGGGAAAAATTAAATTATACACGTATATACATGTAGGTACCTATATATACGCGTACGGTCGGTCGGTCGCCGGCGTAATTGCGATTGCGAGGCAAACGAACCGATTTCGGGGGAAAAGCGCATATAAACGGCTTTGAAAAGACGTCGACGATTCGGGCACAAACGGCGTGCGAATAGACGAAACGGTGTGAGAAAAGGAAAAAATCGGCAAAAAAAGTCCGGTCGGGAGTGTATTTTTCGGTCGACATTGCGACCGCTTCTGACGGCGCACGAATATAAACCACCGCACACCGGCGGCTTCGAATTAAGTATAAAAAAGGGCGAAAAGGGTCGAAATCGTGCTGTAAAAACAACTAATTTTCCGAAAATTTCAAATGATAGGAAAAGAGATGATGACGAAACACGTTTTAAAACCGACCGCCGCCGCTGCTGCGAAGGTACGCGATTGGTCGCGCTATAAGGAACACGGCCGGCGCGCTGGGGAAACGGAGCGGTGCTTCATTTTTTATGCCACGGTTTCACTATAGCCTGCGTTTTCCCTTCAACGGGTTGCTTGTAGACAGCCGTTTTCGTAATCAGCTGTTCTTCATTTTATTTTCTCACATAAAAATAATAATACACGGATATATTATTATAGTGATTTATGACGATGGCAACCTAACAATTTTTTTGTATAGACAGTTTTTTGAAAAGCGATTTTGTTTTATTTTAAAAATATAATTTTTAACAGTCGTTTAAATTTATTTTTGCGATCGTGGTGAAACAAACAACGCACTTGGATTCATTGTACGATTTTGAAAAATAAACTAACAAATATGTCGCCAGAAGTAAAAAAGCGCGTGCGGGCTCTAAAAATACTAATTTTAGCCGAGCATGAGATTAAATTGAGATTCAATGCTGAAGTTCATCTTCTTCAATTGAAATACCAAAAAGTGTACGAGCCATATATTAATAAGCAAACGGATATAATTCAAGGAAACCACGAGCCTACCAAAGGCGAATACAGTAGTTCTGATGAAGATGATGTACAAGTTCCCAGATATGATGAACTGGGGAAAATAGGACTTGAATCAAAAGAGACAAGTAGACAAGAACCGAAAGGAATACCGGACTTTTGGCTTATGTACATGGAGAACTCGTACAAATTCAAAAGTCACATACTGCCACATGACCAGCAAATCATCAGACATTTGTCAGACATCAGATGTAATCAATCGGAAGAGTATATAGGATATACTTTGGAATTTCATTTCACACCTAACGAATGGTTCACTAATAATGTGCTGACCTTAAAGTTCGAGGAGTGCCCTCCAGACAATATTTTTGATAGTGTTAAATGTTACGGTTTGGACTACGCTATTGGGTACAAACTTACTGGCTGTGAGATTAATTGGAATGAGGGGAAAAATGTGACACAGCAAATCAAAAATGTAACACTTGAAGGCACCGAAGTTCCTTTCAACAAAACCGTTGAATATCCATCATTCTTCAATTTGTTTAATGATACATATAAATTCACGAATCCCGATAGATGGTGGTTTCAATTATTTTTCAAAGAATATAAACACAAGTGCAATTGGTTAGTTTATGAAGCATTTATGGAATTTTATTTAAATCACAAGGACGTATTATCATTTGGTGATAAGATGAAAATGTTTGATTTTTCTGATCAATACGAGACGTGTGAGTCGTATATTGAGACGGACGAAGAAGATGGTGTGTCTCACTCACACATGAAATAATAATAACAATACTGGTGTACCTACATAACATTTTTTTAATATATTATATTATTTTAATATGATGTGTTATTACCATTAAATTGTTCTCTAAAATATTATGTCAATCCTAAGGTCATGTGATCGCTTATAATTTGTTGGCAATTTAATTATTTTGTCATTTAACTCGACCCATTGCACTAGCAACATAATAGTTCATTTTTAAAATAGTGACATACTGATTACTGAAGTCTACAAACGGCCACAATAAGATCTGTTATGAGATATCAGCTCTAATTATTGTAATCTGTATTGAATTTTTTTTTTTTTCATTTGGAAAATTTTAAACCTGTATACTTTGTTTACCACATTAAGTAAAAAATATGGCCTAGAGAAACCAGGAGAAATATGGTCTGGGAATATACTTTCCAGATTTCCAAGGTAAGTGACAATATGATGCAGTCCACGCATATTTTGAATTTCCAGGATTATATAAGGCCCCCCCCCCCTGTGTGCAATATCTGGTATCAGAGAAGTAAAATAGATGTTCTATTGCGATATGTGATGTTTCTCTTTACTACCCACATACATTTATGTGATGTTCTGGAGATGCCAAATGCCACGTTGAAGGAAATCACATCCGAGAAGTTAAAACTGAACATCTATAGAACATCTCACATTTATCTCTCATATCTTAGTAGTCTACTTAAAGATGTTAAATGCAATATCCCATCAACATCTCATAAGACATACCTAAGGATATCACATTTTTTTTATCTATGAGATGTCCAATGTGTAACATCCATGTAACTGTTTTAGAATTTTATGTTGGGCTTTCAAAAGCTTTGAAAAATTGGAAATAATAATTAAATGATTCAACACAGGTCATAAAGTACAAAATATTTATTTTTAAAAGTTACATACATAATAGGTATTTACAAAATGTATACCTAACGGCTAACAGAAATTAAATACATTTTATTTTGTATACAATCATTTCAAAGCTATATTGAGTATCAAATGTTCTGAAAAATGTATAATAATACTGAATGAAATATGATTTAACATTAACACAAATAATATAGTATAAAATATTTATTATGAAAAATTACTAATACAATATTCAACAGAATTATGACATTTAAAGTAATTATTCTGTATGCAATAAGTTTAAGGCTACAGCTTGATTTTCTGATATATGGAAAAACAAACACTTATATTTTAAATTTGACAATTCAATTAAACATTTTGGAATTTTAATTTCCGTATTTACCAGAAAATGTCCAATTAAACATAGGAGATAAATTTTCATATTTAGTAACCTCAAGAATTATTTGACCAGAAGAGTTTTTAATTATTTTATCAATAGAAACAATAGCACAGCAATTAAACAAAAAAAAAATACTTATCACGTTCTTTAGTAGAACTAACTTTGAAGTTTTTTAGTAAAACATGTTCATACAATGTGGATGTTATATCTCGGTGAATTGAATAGTTAAAATCAATTTCTTTTTTAAGTTACGGATATTTAATGTTAGTTTCTAAATAGATATTTTGTTCAAGAATTCGGTTGTATACGTCTTGAAGAGGGTATTTAGAACTGTGAACAGTTTTTTTAATGATTTGTAAAAAGTTTTCAAATTTAAATACACTAAACTTGTCAAGTGGACCATGAATCTTAACAAAATTAGCTATATGTATAAGACCATGAACATTATATGTCACATATTCATTACTACAAGTATTATTATCATTAGTAAAAATGTCCAACTTTCCTGGTTGTAGATCTAAATTAAAATTATTATTATTTAATGTTTCATTTGATGATGGAGTTTCTTCAGTACAGGCAAATTTCACTAAAGCTGCCATATTAGGAGCTGAAATTGACTGTGGTAAATTGATAGAGGAACCTTCCTTATGATAAATACTTGAAACCGTTCTGTTATAATGTCTCCTCGACATTAAATGTAATGGTTTCATTTTTTTTACCTAAAAATATAAAAATGTATTTACAATTTGGCAGGTATAGGTTAATAATACTAAAAAAATATCTTGTTTAAATACCTATTAACATGTCTCTTTGATAGTAAAAAAAAGAATTCTAATTGTTACTGTTAACATTTCAAAAAAGGTTTAAAAGTATTCAATTTAGGAAAACGCACTTGTTTGATAAAATAGTGACATGAAAATACATTTTTTTTATAATATTAATTGTTTGAATCCATATTTAATTTATTTTAATTATTTTATTCTATACTGGCTGATACACTTGGTAATTGCCTGGGATGGGGTGTGTTATTATTTTATAATAGGACACAAGATAATGTGTACAAATGTACAACCATATCAGTGCAGAATACAATTGGGGAAAGAGTAAAGCCTCTATGTTATGTATTAGGAAATATGATTTTTTAGAATATCCTTCAATAATTTATTATTCACTACAAGTTACACCACTAGAACCATACCTAGCCATAATATATATTATAGTTTATAAGCTTATTTATTATTACTATACAAATATTTCTGTGAATTCAAATTTTACTGCTTTATGATTTCTTCACGTGCCAAACGTTGGCTTCCAAGGCGGAACCAATCATTCACGGGACACTCAAAGCTACTGTCGTTCATTTGGTAATTATCATAGGCGATTTCTGAAATTATAATAATATTATTTTATTGCAAGTGGGTGGTACATACATTAAATATATGAAAACAATAAATAATTACGTTTTACTATCTTCATAATTTGAAGATTATCTAATCGAAAATTATTCTTAAATCCTGTCCAAGAACATACAGAAGATAATTTATTTGTAAATAGTCTTGAAAGTACTGTTTTGATAAAGTTTTTTAAACTTGTTCCACATTCAGTTGAATGTATAAAATGAGTCTAAAAAATCAACATAATATTTGTATGTAATACAAAACTTAAATTAAATTTTACTATACTTACTAATTTGAGCTTATATTCTCCATTTTGTAAGTTCTCCTCTATATCTTTTATCGCTGCAATATCTTTTAATGGAAACATATTTAAAACCGAATCATCTAATGGCAAGTATTGTGCGCTTGGTGGATGTTTTATATGTTCTAAAAGCACATCTAACTTTTTGTCCAATCTATTCAAGAACATATTTGTTGAATTCATAAATTCTGTGAAAGTGGGCATACTATTGCTAGGATTACTAGGTTCTGAAAAAATTGTTTTATTATTATTAAAAATAAAAATGTTATAGGTAGGTATGCTTAATTCAATGTTTACCTTGATAATTTGATAAATCTGAATCGAAATTATACCCTATTGAATGCAATGCATCAGATCTTGTATCTGAAAGAAGTAAAAAAAATAATTTAATATTTTTTTTTTATACACAATTATATTTTTTTTAAGTATAATATAATATTAATAGATATTACCTTGGCTGTTTTTTAGACTACTATCAAAATGTTGATATATCACTCCCCCACGTATTGCTGTCTCATCATAATTATCACATACAAAAAAAATTCAACCGTCGTTTTTTAATCAATATATTAAGTAGATACAACGTGAATATAACCGTATCGTTTTTACCTTCAAATAAAATTAATCTTTCGAATTTTACCCCACAGACGCTTATTAGTTATTTAAACTTATTTTACATACCGATTTTGGTATGTTCTGAGGTTATTAATTAAGCAGAGTGCTTATAATAATAATAATATGAATAAAAATTAATACAAGGGTCTTACTATACAGGGTGTAACAGAAAGATATGACATATACATATACTGGAAATGTTCCTAAACAGTTCAAAACAAATCAAAATGTTTTGAAAATTTTATCGTGTATAGAAAATGCAAATATAAACTACCAGTGAAAATGTCATGTATATACGTTCATTTGTTTTAGAGTTTAACCAAAAACAAAAATCGATTTTGTCATATCTTTCTGTTACACCCTGTATATTGTTAGGTACATTGGCATTTGAAAAATATTAAAAATCCTTAGTCACAGTTTTTTTTTTTATAAGCATTTAAAGTTAAAATCTTGACACAATATGGAAAAATCACGAAAATTAGCAAATTATTTTGAGTTAAGAATTCATAAAAATTTTTATTTTTTTATCTAAGATTTTAAAATTGAATACAAGATTCCTTATGAGATTATCTACCTTTATCAAAAAAAAAAAAAAATGTCTATAAGAAAGTCATATTAAATTTTTATATGCGTTTGAAATTCAAATTTTTACAACATTGGATATTCACTCGATTTCTCATGTAGTGGTTTTCTTATTTTGTTGTGATTCAAAAAAGAATAACTGTAGATACATGAAAATTTCACTGAATGTTTATTTTATCAATTCATATACTTGATAAAATTTTCAAAATATTTTGAGTTGTTTTTAGCTGTTTACGGACAATTTCATATTTCAACTTTTTTATTTTTTTTTTTCTGTGAATATCAATCAAGTTTTATCTGTTGGGCCAAAAAGTGTAAACATTTAACACAAGGCTCCTAATATATTGTTACATAGCAGTTGAAAAATGTTGAAAATACATAGGCACAATTTTTTTTTATAAGCATTTAAAGATCGAATTTTGATAAAATTTAATAATTATTTTGTACCTAGTTAAAAATGTATAAAATGTTCAACTTTAATATCTAAAGATTGAAAATTTAAAACAAAATTCTACGTAAGTAGTTAGACTGACATACCGTCTCCACTCAGAATCGTTTTTCTTATACAATGATATTCATATTATATCATTGAGTTCAAATTTAATACCATCCATTATTATACAGTGACCCACTTGTAACCTATACTGTACAGCTGAGCATTTTTTTTTTTTTTTATTGAAATGGGTATTATCATGCTCGGTGAATTTTCTTGTGTATAACTATAATATTAACAATAAATATTTTTGTGTAATAATTGTATAATATTTTTAACGTTATGTAAACTAAATATAAATAATGGACAATATATCAGAAGCCTTGTATTAAATTTGTACACTTTTTGGCCCAACCGATAAAACTTTATTGATATTTATAGAAAAAAAAACTAAAATAATTGAAAACTCAAAATGTCCGTAAACAGCTCAAAAAGAGTCAAAATATTTTCAAAATTGTATGGTGTATAGGAAATTCTAATATAAACATTCAGTGAAATTTTCATGTACCTACAGTTATTCGTTTTTGAGTTATAACAAAATAAGGAAATCGCTACATGAGAAATCGAGTGAATATCCAATGTTATAAAAATTTGAACTTCAAACGCTCATAAAAATTTAATTTGACTTTCTTATAGACATTTTTTTTTTGATAAAGGTAGATAATCATATAAGAAATCTTGTATTATATTTTAAAATCTTAGATTTAAAAAGAAAAATTTTTACGAATTTTTAACTCAAAATAATTTGTTAATTTTCGTGCTTATAAAAAAAACTGTGACTAAGGATTTTTAATATTTTTCATCTGCCTTTGAAACAATATAGTAGGAGCCTTGTATTAAATTTTCAATCTTTTTTAACCAACTAATACATTTTTATTGATATTCATAAAAAAAAAATAATAAAATTGGAAACTGAAAATGTCCCTAAACAGTTCAAAATAAATAAAAATATTTTGAAAATGTTCTCGTGTATAGAAAATGCAAATATAAACAACCAGTGAAATTTTCACTTATCTACGGTCATTTGTTTTAAAGTTACACCAAAAACCAAAATCGATTTTCTCGAAAACAGATTTTGCGTAAAAATTCCCGTTTCTCTTTAATTTTTCTTTTGTTTTTCACGGCGCTTTTGAAAACTACTGGGAAATTTTCACTTTGACCCCCCCAAAGTATAAGAAATCCAAGCCCTTTTACTGTCCTAAAACGTGATGACAGATACAAAGAAAATAAAAATAAAAAAAAAACACACATCATTGTAAAATCAATACATTCATCGTTTCACTCAGAATCTAAAATGTTTAATTTAAAATAATCTATAACTTTAAAACAATTTCTCAAGGCTATAACTAACTCAAAAAAGTAAAAATTGTCCAAAATTTAATTTATTGAAAATATTAATATAAATATTTGGTGAAAACTTCAATGGTGTACGGTTATTAGTTTTCGAGCCATACCAAAAAATAAAATTTTTGGTTTTAGGTAAAAATGACAATTTTTTAATATCTAAAACTAAAAATTTCGGTTTCGATCTCCAAAAAGAACCAACTAGATTCACTTTTCTAACAGAAAAAATGCTGATCTCGAAATTCAGAATATTTTTACTACCCATTGTTGATAACCGACAGAAATGAAAAAAATTATACACATCTTGTAAAATCAATACATTTGTTATTTTGTTCGTTCCTCTCAAAATCTAAAAACAGTGATCACGACTCCATGCTATATTAAAAATGAAATAACATTGGTTTCGTTTCCAAATCAATAATAAATGATTTATATATTTTAATAATTTTATATTAGTTTAATATTAGTCTTTAGATCTTTTGAGCCCCTTCGATATATTATGAGGCCCGAGGCCTGTGTGCGGTGCACACTTTGCACACCCGGTATTACGGCACTGAATATAGATTCTCTGAAGAAAATTTATCTATGGCTTGCTCCATTGATAACTTTATGAATATGAACTACGAAAGAAGCTTAGAATTCATAAATAACTATAAAGTAAAATGTATAAAATATTAAATACAACTCAATATTCACTTTTTTTTTTTAATAGTGTAGTTTAAGTATTACTATAACTTTAATATTTTTTTGATTTTACTGTTTAATTTTCAGAATGTGACAAACGTTTCAATTGATTTATTAAAAGCTGAAATGATGGTTTTCAAAAACTGTTTGCCACCAGATTTTAATTTTGATGACATTAAAGGAAAAATACATAAAGAAGCTTTTCCTAACTTGTATAAGCTACTTCAAATTGCAATTACAATCCCAGTAAGTTCTGCAAATTGTGAAGGTAGTTTTTCTAGTATGAGACGTACG